TTTTAGTTCAGAAACATGCTATAACTGAAGTAAATGCCAAATATTAACCGTACATGTGTTCAGTATTTCTTGAAATAGAGATAAACATTAGTTATGTCTGTACTGCTTTAATAATGCAGCGAGTCGACCACCAAACAGCAAACACTGGCTGAGCAACGTAGAAATATTAGAATTTTACCTGCTGCGTTCGGACTGGGGACTTCCTTTTCCATGTCTTTAGGTAGATGGTCTTCCTTTTCTTCACTTAGGGTTCACTGGATGGTTCAAGCGTGAATAAAACAAATAAACATTACATGTTTTTCTTTTTTATGCGAAGCCACGAGTTACAGTTTGTCGTCACATGTTCAAAGGTCCAAACAAATAATGTAAATCTGCTTACGTGCATGTCAACAGAGCCAAGCTCAAAGGCAGTCTCGCTAAAGTTAAAGAAGAACGAGAACAACCATTACGCTCCTCAACTTTTCAAACTGTCACTAAATAAAAAAGAAATATGTACATTGCATTTTGGAAGTATTAATTTGTGGCTGTGCTTTCGTGGATTTGCTAAATAACGTTTTGCTACTAAATCGAAACTGAACTTGCTGCGAGGTGACAGTAAGCAAGCCGAAGAAAAGCTAGTATAAATTATTGCGAGAGAAATAACTACTCGCCGGGAACTAAGCTCTAATGACATGCACGAAACGTAAATTGTTGGTAACCATAATTGAAGAGAACTAGCTATTTAAGTGACAAAGATAACTAAGCTAGCCCAGCCAGAGTGATGCTAATTTAGCCAACAGTTACCAAAGCATTACTTGGGTGTTATTGTAAAAAAAAATACCTTCGTGTAACTCAAAAGTCATAACGATACGCTTTTCTGATTACTGCTCCATACCAAATATGTCACGGATCATATCGCCGTAGATCATACGCTTCCTTAGCTTTCAGTTAGCATGTGTGGCACTCATAGCAGACTAAATTCTGAAGCGGAACGCTTAACAGTGCCTTTGTTTCTATCGAGATAACTAAACGTTGCACTATTTTCCGAGCGGCAACGGTGTCCTGTCAAGAAATGTCCCCCCAGCTACAGGGAAGTCCAGTGATTGTAGCTTGTTTGTGCGCGCGATGCTACGTCGCATTGTTTAGTTGAAGTTGTTTGGCATCGCTCAATTGAATTTGAGTTACAAATGGATACCAGAGACTCTGAAGATAAGCTCTCTCGTCCCATGACTAGATCGACACGACGGATGTCAGGTAAAGGTGAGCACTGTTCGAGTGGTATGTCAATTAACTAGCTTAGCCATCGGAATTAGCTCCCTCATACTCACAAGTTTAAAAGAAAATCAGATTTGGATCGGTGCTTTGGCTAATGTTAGCAGGCTTCACCGGTGTAAATGATCCTCAGATAGGAATCTGTATTAAAATTAACTTAATGTTTCAGTTCCTGGTACGAGTTCAGGCACAACTTTAAAACCAATGAGTTATCTCCTTACATTGAAATGCTTTGCTACATATTAGCCATTATCTATGTGGGGTTTTTTTTGTTGTTGTTTGTTTGTGTTTTGTTTTTTAGCGCTGTGTCTCGAAACAGTTTACAGCAGCAGCGAAATTAAAATCACAAACTGACTTTCGCTTTTAGCACTGGCGGTCAGTGACAGGGATCAACGTTTCATTAAGCCGCTAAACACACTGATATATGGGCAAACTGTGAAAAGCAAAGTTGGACTGACTTGATATTGAGTGCAACTAGTCTGTGGAAATATGAGTTTTCTTTTTAAGAGCATTCTGAAGTCAATGACAGAGTAGTTCAAAAATGAAAATTCACAGGCTTTTACTGTGAAATCCAAAATAACATGGCATTGACGGGGCTACTGGAGTACACGGGTGTGTCATTTGGATGTAACATTAGAGTGTGTAAACAAGACTAAATGATATTTGTTATTATGTACTTAACATATCTGCAAATTAACTAGAAGCTTTTATTTTGCAATTAGGTTTCGAATGCTTTTATTTTGAAATGAGGGTTAATGTTGAAGCTACATTTACTTGAAGGTGGTTTTTATTTTGAAATCAGGTTTCTGCATCTCTTGCCACAATACTAGAATACATAGGGAACACAAAGCAAAATGGAGGCTGGCTGGACACCAGTTCTGTTTCAGGGTTTTTTCTTCTTTTGGCTGCTCCTGTCAGCGGTCCCCACAGGGGATCATCTCCGTCTTTTTCACCCTGTCCCTAGCTCTGCATGTCCTCCTTCACATCATCCAGGAATCTCTTCTTTTGTGTTCCTCTTTTCCTCCTGCCTGGCATTTGCATTTTCAACCTCCTTTGCCCAGTATATTCACTATCCTTCCTCTGCACTTGTCCAAACTATCTCAGCCTTGCCTCTCTATTTCTCTAAATAACTTATCCTGAGCTGTCCATGTGATATACTCATTTCTAATCCTGTCTTCCAAAGGGTCGAGTTTTGAGGCAACTCCTAGGCAGCCTATAAAGAGGACCAAAAGAAAAAAAGCACAAGCTGACGCTGCTGATGCTCCTACATCAGTTAATGGAACCAAAGATGGGGAGCCTGACTTTGAAGATGGAGGTTAGTTGCTGGAATTAAGTATTAGCCTAATTTTAATGGCTGATTACCCTTAGTTACCCTCACTGTTCAAGGCACTGTTAAAAAACAAACAATCCGTGTCTATTATTTATTACCTAACAGAGTCCCCTAGCAAGAAGAGCCGACTGGATGCTGAAGAAGCAGTGTTTGACGAGAGCGCTGAAAGTAAGATGGATGTTGAGGAATCATCTGGAGACATTCAGAAAAATGAAGGCCAGGAAATGGATATTGAACGGGATTCCTTTAAAGTCACTGATCTGCCAAACATACACAAAGGTTTGTACTACAACTAGTGAACATTCATTATGAAATAAATCATAGAGATTAGATAATATTCCCTTTTAATTTATTTTTATTTAATGTAAAGAACAAATGGATAATACAGTAACTTAAAACATAGGGAGGCTGTATAAAGTGTAAATAAAACAGGACTGAATTAAGTTATCAAAACACCACATTTAAATGTCCAAAGATTGATTCTGTTCATCAACCTGTTCCAAAATCTTCTACACAGTACATTTGCTAAATGACTGAAACTATGACTATGCAAATGTACTGTTTATAAGGTTGGGGAAACCTGCAGTCAGCTGAGATTGGAGATTCTCCCTCTGAAAACGCTACGTCCAGATGAACAGAATCAGACTTTGGAGATTTACTTACCTGGATGATTGAGAATGCATCACATTTAAATAAAAAAAATTAAAATAAAAACAAAGGCAAACATCTTGGACCAATACTTTATTTTCACTATATAAGCCATATAATAATATACAAATACACTTTGTGTTAAGTTACTTTTCTTTTATGACTTTATTAGGATTTTATCTTAAAAATCTTCTGCTTAACACAGATGCTCTCGGAGACAGGAACTTAAATCCCCGTGTAGTGCTTGATGAGCTCTACAGACCCAGTCTTAAGACTGAGGATCCCAACTTGATGAAATCCAAGAAAGGTAGAAAAATGCTCCATCTTCCTTGACATTCAGAGTGTTAAATTATAGTCTAAGTTATTTGACTTAACCTATTTTGTTTAGTTTCAGCAACACCAGCACCTAAAGCACCTGCACCCCTCACCAAGCCTGTCGCACAGATCAGCGCAACAGTGAACAGACATCATTCACCGGCTCTCAAGCCGTCCAGCGTGGCAGACTACAAGAGGACGATGATGCTCAAAGCCCAGAGCGCTGGTATTGTGCTGCTCATATTCTGTATAGAAAGGTTGAGCGTCTGCGTGATGAATTTTGATCTTTGAAAAGATGTTTTCTTTTCTAAATTCAGCCTCATCTTCAGATTTATCCAAAGTTAACCACCTTACCCCAAGTGTGCATCCGAGACGTGTGAATAACGTTCCAAGAAAAGAGACTATTCATTCCAAAGAATCTGGTATTGCTGCTTTATCTCAGTATTCTCTCTCTGCAACACCTGCTATAGTGGTGACATCTGTGCATTAATATAATCATGTTTTCTTTTATTATAAGACAAACAGAAACCTGTTGCTACCAAGACACGCCCCAGAAATTCCTCTAGAGGTAAGTTTGTCATTTTAATTATTATCTTTAGACCTGATGATGCTTTTTAAACATTATTTATTAACTTTGTGTGTTCTTTTCTTTCTGTGTTATTAAAGGGTTCACGTGGTGTTTGTGGGGTTTAGTTCGCCTGGTAGTTCTCCTGTTAGTTCTCCTGGTACTATTTGTGATTGGGACATTGCTGATATACAAGATCGTCCCTTTACTCCAAGACATGAAACGTGGTGGAGGGCAGTCATCCAGGGCTGTGAAGCCAGAAAGGTTTGCTGATCAATTGTCTGATCTTCAGACTCAGTTCCCCAGTCAGCGGCCTGAGTTGTGGAAGTTGAGCAAAATCCACCTGGAGAAGCACCTTAAAACAGCCCATCCCTCTGAGCCAGTCAGTCTGATTTTCACTGCAGGCCAGAAGGCTGAGAGGACACTGCAGTGCCTTGCTCGGGGTCTGGCTGCTTCCTTCTCATCTGCCCTCAATGCCTCTTTCCTTGACATTGATGGAAAAAGCAAAGCAGGCCAGGACAGTGATAAGGTGAAGTTAGACATTGACAGTCAGCTGCAAGCAGCGTTTGAGGGAGAAAAACCTGTGGCCATCATTCATCGTTTGGAAGAGCTGCCACCAGGCTCCACTCTCATTTTTTATCGCTACTGCGACCACGAGAATGCCGCATATAAGCGGGTTTTCTTGTTGTTTTCTGTGCTGCTGCCTCAAGATGAGATCCCGAAGGAAAAGGGTTTAAAAGAGGTGGAAGAGATGGTGCAAGACTATCTTAAGGAGAGGCTGGTGGACACCGGTGGCAAAACTTATAATATAATGAATAATGATAAGTTTGGTGGTCTGTGGAGTCGCATCTCCCATCTTGTCCTGCCTGTGGTGTCTGAGGTGGAGAAGAAAGGATGCTAAAAAAACCAAGCTGCCTGATTCTTCTTTGCACTGTACAAGGAGCTACGAGAAAGGAGAAACGTGGAAGTATGATGTGTGCCGTGATAATTCATTTACAGCATTCGATAATTGTGGTATTCTCTTTCTCTCAGAGATTACATTGTACTTAAATTGAAGTCAAACGCATATGATTTGGTTCGACTGCACAAAAATTTAAACAGTTTTTACTCATGCATGCATGTTAAAAGAGGTTACAGTGTTACACCATCATTCCACTTCACAAGTGTGGTGATAATCTTTTCTCATGTGCATGCAATCTACGAAACACAGACTGACTGAGCTGTTTAATTTTTTGTTGCCTGTTAAAGCGTGCATCGTTTCTCAGCAGCTTTTAATGACCATCTCATTTTTTTCATCATCCTCAGCTTTTCTTTACTGGAACTAAAAAAAAAAGAAAAAAAGTTTTGTTTTCAGTGAAAATTCATATTTCATCTTTTATTCTGCTGTCCAAGACAACCAGGTGACTTCATTTAATTCTTTATTTTTGTGTGAGTGCTGGAAATGCTTGGTTTTGACTTAAGTGTCTGTCTTTTTGAGCAACAGCTTTTTAAGGTGAATATTTTATATTCTTTGCTTTTTTCTAAATATGTATATTTGTGTCATGTTTCCTGGATTGAGGTATTTTTTTAAAGCTGTGTATATGTGTGGATTTGATATTAAATGGTCTTTTGAACATGTTGTCACTTCACATTGTGAGCTACTTGCAATGTGGTTTATATCTGTAAAAAATATTTTGGATAAATACTGATTAGCTCGTCCCAGACTGTGCCTTAAACACATATGAAGAATACACTGTATTTAATTAGAGTAAAAACTTTCTCCAGTCATTTATACTAGCGCACATGACAACATGTGAACTTGTTTGTGCTGTTTCCTGTCATACATCTCATTCCTCTTGTTATTCTGAGCACTCATAAACACCTGAATATTATCAATAAAGATAATTTTGATACATAGAGGAGTGAATTGTCTAATTGTTTATGTTAATAATGAGCTAGGCTACTACTGTTAGCTACAAATATGAAACTGAGGCTACAGTTCTTACAGGCTCAGCAAAACCAGACAACTAGACTGTAAAAATGGTGCCTGGTCTGATGAGTCTATTGTAATGTTGTGACAGTAGGGTCAGAATTTGGTATAGACAACGTGCGAGCATGGATCCATCCTTCTTTCTCTCAACGGTCAAGGTGTTGGTGGCGACATAATTCTTGGCATATTTTAGAGTCTTAACACTTGTTGAGCATTGTTTAAATGCCACAGTCTACCTGAGTGTTGTAACTGTTTATGACCACAATGTAGCCACCTGCATTAAAAAACACAACACACCATGTAACAAAGTTCAGTTAACCTCAAACTTGTTTACTGTACTCAGATTGCCTCCACAGTTACCAAATCCTGATCCAGTCCAGGACTTTGAAGGTAAAAATGTTCTAAATGCAAGAATGTGTGGGGGAAAAGTGAACTTTCAGTTTTCATCTTCACACACTTGTGTTTTAAATTTACAGTTACAGAAAAAACATCCACAAATGTTTAGATTGATATCTACACAAATATACCGAGAGCTGCAAACTGGTAATTCAAATTAAATATTTGGGGGGATGTGATGAAATGAAATTTAGATTATGATAAATGTGTAGCAACTGCGTGAGGCTATGATGTTAATATGGACCAAAATCACAAAGAATTAAGACAGCAAGGACTCTAATAAAGCATCCACTGGGTGTAACTTATCGTTACTAAAAATAAAGTCTCCAGCTGTGAAACGAGGACTTGACATCTACCGGTATTCAGCACATAAGAAGTCAAACATTTACTAAGCAGGAGTTACGACTCACTTCTTAAGAAACCTGACAGTTCAAAAGTCCATTTCAAGATTATGTTTACAGACACTGTTTTGTATCGATAACATTAAAATTAGGTTTGACACAAAGTATGAATATGTTTTTACTTTTATTTAAATGTGTCCAGATGAAGATATACATTGTAGCTGCTAGAAGAGCATTAGTACGGCTCTAAGAACAGGAAGTTACAGCAAGTTTAATCATTTTCTAAGCAGTTGATAAATGCATCTCTGTATCTTGGCAGAGTTTAACTGAGTGAGTCACCAAATGGACCACAGACATAAACAAAGGCTACCTTTTACACAGCAGTGGGTTTATTGTTTTGAACTCAAAGTGAAATACCACAAAAGAAAAGCCATTTTACTGCTGAATCATGAGACATCAGTTTGCAGCTCATGCTGTAGTTTCATGGGGACAAAACTTGTGAGTGAGTGCTCCACTTCCACTTCCTCAAGTGGCCTTGATGAAAAGAGCATTTATTTGAAGTTTACACAGCTACATTCTGGCCTGAAAATATCGTAAGAGGTTTTTTTTGTGATCCAGACGGAGTAATATTAAAACTAAGTAGCTGCCGCCATTGTTGGAAACTGGAATTGGCTGAGCCGCGCTATGAATTCTGGGATATGGTGGACCACGAAGGATACACCCGACCCCTCCTTCAAACCTGTCAATCATACACAGTACAACATGCAGTGAAACGCTTACTGCTGTGCAATTCTCGACCATTAAAAATACAAGAATGACCTCAAATTAAATATGGAAATTAAAAAGGTTTGCAAATCAGCAGTGTGCAGATTTACAGTGAACAGTAAAAATTTTTTATTGAAATACATTATTTTGTTATTGAGTGCATGTACAGTGATGTGATATGCAGTGTTGGGAAGGTCACTTTGGCTCTGGATGGTGAGTAGAAGTTCTTGAGCATCTTCAGAGTGTTTGTGTGACAGGTCCTGTGTGATGTCAAGCCCCAGGTATGTGAAATTGTCTTCTCTCTCCACTGTTAAATATATACTGCCTAATAATGTCTGTTCTGTGTGGCTTTTCATTAGGCTTTATTTTCTTAATCTGACTGCAAGAAAATGCCTCCAAGACACGGCAAGGCTTTGAAATGGCAATACACAGGTGGTCTAACTTCATCCTCGAAGTACTGCTTAACTTTGATGAGAATTAATTTAACCTACGTTAGGAAAACTTCCCTTGAAAATGAAAAACAAGCTATATAGTGTGCCAGGGGCGTTTTTAGCCCAAAGATTTACTTTTTTTTTTTGCTGTTTGTCTGACACACCACTAAAAATATAAAAATATTTTAAGGACTCTTCTATTTTTGGAGTGTATTTACACTCAGTTTACTTTTTGCTCACTGTGAGCATCATTCATTATTCTCCCCAGTAATTAAGGTTAGGATATATATTTTTTTATTCCAATCCATTCTTCTTTTGCAGCATTTAAATAACCGTTATCAGATTTGTTACAGACATTTCAAAAAAGTGTTTTGCTTTTCTTTTACAAATGTCGGGATTAAATTGAGTTAAAATGTACAAAACAGTGATGTCATGTTTTGTGACGAGGACCCAGGCACAGAGAGACGTGATGAATTTAAGAATTTCATGATTTAATAAAGAAATTTGCAGACTTGCACAGAGATGGTAAAATTATGATGACTGATAACAGAGACGAAGACAACAGACGATGAGGACAGGGAGGAACAGGGGTTTAACTGCACCAAGGAGACAGTCAGAGAGAACTCGGGACAACTGGAGACATTTAGGGATGCAGGGACTGACAGAGACGGGGAAGAAGTCTCACTGTGACGAGTAAAGTTTATCTTGCCTGGCTGGGCAGCTCTCTGGGTGCTCAGCACCCCCAAAGCTCTGATCCTAGAATCGCCCCTGTAGTGTGCTAAAGCAATATGCAGTCCGTGTAGTCTGCCTGGTGTATTGAAAAATTACGAGATACAATAAATAAGACCCTCAAGCACTACTTGCATTAAATGAGGAAGCAGCAGGTAAACAGTGTGATATGATCAGTGTGATGTAACCATACTATATATAAACTATAAGAGAAATCTGATTGTGATTCAAACAAACCACAAAACTATTGTTTCTGACAAGTAAATATACCAACAATGATGGCTATAGAAAAAGAAATGGCTCCAGCGAAGAGGATTACTGACACAATATTAACAACAACATCTCTGAGTCTCCTCTGGAAATGAGAAAAACAGACATGAACTTGCTGCTCGTTTCTCTCGCTCATTCCTAAATGACCTGTAACAGAAAAATACGAATATTATTATTCCTCATTAGATTTGATGCTGTATCTGATGCAAATTCTTATATTCAGACAGGCACAAGGCATTCACCTCGTTTTTCACTGCTCAAAATGACAATCCAGATTACATTCAGGAAATCCCATACTGTGAAAGCAATCATCACTTTCAGAAGCCAAGAGTCCCTCACGTTATTTCCGCACTCATTCTCCATAACACCAAGAAATATGACAGCAACTGGCCCAAAACAAACATGGAAATAATATCAGAGCAATGTAAAGGCAGTGGCAACTACTTCCACAAAAAAGTCCAAACTCTTTTTTGAAGGTGTAAAGTTAATACTCTTAAATTTACAAGTATAAGAATTTTCTTACTTGTAAAAATATTATGGATAACAAAACAAACATTGGCAGCGTATTCACAAATCTTCCTTCTTGAAGAGAACGTGAAAAATGAAATAAACATTTTGCACAAATGTCAGTTGATATGTTTGCACATGCAAAGTGAAGTTAAACGTACCTTTCAGGACCACTTCTAATCCCCAGAGACAAAATTACTATTCCAGTGAAATTAATCACTATCATCACACACACAAGAGCAAAGAAGATGACCTAAAAAATACATAAACACACACATTAAAAATACATGTGGGAAAAATTAAACAGATGTTGTTATTGAGACGGGTTTTACACCACCAGTTGTTCTCACCTTGGAGGAATCACCCATACTAAACAAGATCAGGGATGAGATTTCAACAGCCACACAGAGGACGTTGCCTGCTACCTTACACACCTACAAAATTTAAATAAAAACAACAGTGCATATTATAAGTTAGACAGCCTTGAAAGCCCTGAAAATCCATATTTTACCCTATGAAAGCAGGGGTAAGTTCCAGCACCCCGTGAACCCCCAGCTTTCAAACTAACTACATACTCAAAGAATTCTTGGAAGCAATACAAAGATGCAGGACAAGAAGAAAATAAAACACTGTGAGCACCAAAGGCCCCCAGCTCTTACCTTATTTACATGATGAAAAACAGCCTCACTGGCCAGTAAGACTTTGCCTATATTGGATATTACCTAACAAGACATGAAGTAGAACACAATTACATTTCTTTTTGTTCTTTTAAGGTGGGGCTGAATAGCATTTAGTGCGTGTCTTGAGTATCGTTAAATATGCTACTTACTTTCATCTCTGCCACCAAAACACAATCAAAACACATCAGTGCAAAACCTGCTCGCTGAAACTAAATCAGAAACAGGGAGCAGTGTTGTCAAAAAAAG